ACTTTTAAGGAATGAAAAAGACACAAACGAGAAGGATTTAGCGCGTGAGCAAAGGAATACAGATTAAATATATGATGTTTATGCTCGCTGAGTAGCGCGCGACGGTGAGCATAAAAAGGCGCCGGCCACACGCGCCCGCCACGTGAAAAGTGCGCGGTCCGGAAAGGGTTAAAGGCAAAAGTCGGGCTCAATAAGGGGGTATTATGGCGATTGAAACTGAGTATAGAGATGCGAAGTGGAACGACAGTGGAGAAAAAACTGAGAAAAACCGTCGACAAGGCCGTTAACAAAACCCTCTTTCCCACTAGCAGTGAAGGAGGCTGGCTTGGGGAAAGAGGCACGTACAAACAAGTTTTCTGGAAGATATCAGTCGTTCTATCGGTTGATACGGCAATCAACCTAGCTGATTTCACACGTTATGCCAGCCACGCACCACATCCCGAGGTGGGCGGTCGTAGCGGGGCCAGGCGGCGATAGCGCATAGTACATGCCCTGGGGCCTTATTACTGCGCCGTTTCGGATTTTGAGTGTGGGAACATCTCTACGGGTGCGTAACCAAGTACAGGCATGACCGAAAGGGTTGGTTTGGTCAACTAATCCCGACCTTTGCCTTTAAAGACCTGAGGGGGTTGCCCTCGACAAATTGCATCGGTCCCATGCTCCAAAAAGGCCAAAACACGCGCTCTCACCAACGTATTAAAGGCAGTGATCACGATGAAAAGGGAGGGTGCGCGTTGGAGGAATATGTGCGTCGTGGAGGCAACAGCCAAACTACATAAGAGCTAGGTGGGGCGTTTCTTCGGCTAATGGTGAGCAAGTTGCGGCACAGCTAAAGCTAAAAACCGTAACATTCCAAAATCGCTCCTTCTACATGTGTTAGGCCAGTAACAGCGTCGTTCGATTTTCACTTCTGGAAAAACTTTTACTTTCAAGCGGTCTCATTCAGTTTCCAAAATAATGCGATTTCATTCGAGGCATGACTATTGTTGGCATGATGTTGGCTAGAGTAACACGGGTAAACGACGTCTTTCTTGGTTGCTGGCCCGAACATGGATAAAAATCTCAAGGCAAATGAGGAAATCCCAGTTAGAGGGTTCTTGACGGGCTTCTCATTTTTTTCACCACTGTTGCGTCATTCAGCACCTATTTGTACTCCAAACCCACCCCAACTCTATCGTTATCATTGTCTTCAGCTCGAAATTCTTATCCTGAATGACCTAGTAGAAAAAGTGCTGTAAAAGAAATGCAGTCTCAAGACGGAGCAATTGTTGATGACCAAGCTGTGCAGTTTCAGTATGTGAGGCATCTTTTTAGACCGGATTCACAAAATGGGCGCCGGGACAACCATATTATCGAAGGGGTAATTGTGCCTACATGCAAATATACCCCGGATCAAGGTAAGTAGACTCTTTACTTCCTTTATCCCACAAATTCTCTTGCTGGAATCTAACACACTCAAATTAAAGGAAGTATGACAATGTGTGGGGCGGAAGTGGTGTAGTGGGAAGTTGAGCGGTCCGGGGATCAAATCCTGGGTCGTGAGTCGCCCGGGCCAACCAAGCCTTCCATCCCTCCGGGGTCGGTTAATTGGTACCAGACTTGTCTGGGAGGATAAAAACACTGACTTGTACATCGGCTGGCCCCCGCAAGTCATTGTATAGGCCACATCGCATTCAAACGCCACTACGAATGTACAAATGGAAGTAGAATGCGTGCCGCATCCCAAAAAGGGATTGATCAACGGCAAATGCTTTATCCTTTATCCTTTATGACAATGTGTGAGTCCGAGCGATATGCGTTACTGTTGGTTTCGTACTGTTTAGTAGGGAACCATCACACACTCGAGCTACCATACCATTTTTTTGACTCACTACAAGCTACTCTACCTCGATTTCGGGAACCCCTAACCCGAGCTTGTGTAGAATTTGCAAATTTGTCAGAGAAATTAGTCAGCCAAGCGAGAACATAGGCGTGGGGCTTGCAGTTCGCACGAGAACCTGCACATTACGTTCCTCCTTTCTACAATCCCTGTGCACCTCGTTTAAAAATAATTAGAGAAACCTTTTAAACTTCTGCTTCAGGTCTGAATGGTTTACTGACGACTGCAACAACGACCACCACTATATCTGCCAAACGAAACCATGCGACTCGACCAAGTACTGTCCAGCTGGATAGAGCCACCATACCAAAACTGTCATTCTAGACGTACAGCGTTTGATAAACGAGTTCAAGCAAGCTGTACACGCTTGTCTACCTAAAATCTCAAAGCCTCATCGTGTGGAATTTCCCTCTTCAAAGTGTGATAATGTAAGCGTGATATTTTTCGGGATAAGGCCTAGCACCATCTACCCGTGTTACCTGCCCTTAGCGTCGTTCTTCATGTTCAACATGCAAGATTGCGGGGTGTGATATGTGATGGGTGGAGCACTTTCGATGACGTCATTGGCCGTGATTGGTAGAAGGGCGCTGGGGAGGGGAGAGGGGGACCGATGACGCCCAAATGACGTCATCGTAAATGCACCGCTCATCAGTGGGAAGAGGGGTCATATTTGCAAATTTTCCTGGACGCCTTATTGGTCCCTTCACTACTCGTTTAATATCAGCTCTATGTGTCTGCCAAGTTTCGCCGATTCTACTAACGATAAGGTGAATTTTTTTCATAACAAACATATAATTTCAGCGTTCTGAGATCGAAAAATATGCAGCGATTCAGTCGCTGAGTTGTTTTTATCTCACATCCGCTGCTACCACACTACTGAAGGTTGAAAGTTACTTGTGAGTTCTTGCCCTGAGATAACACGAGTTGGAGAAGAGATGCTACAACGCTATGACATTACGCCTTGTCATTGGACTTACACTTCATATACGTTTGCAGAAGTGATATCTGGTCCTTCAAGAGGAGCTCCACGGCTAAGGCTTCTTTTTTCGGGACAATGGACAATGTGACCGGGATACTGCCTCCAAGGAAAGAGCTAAT